GCGCGGTGACGTCACGAGCGGAGCCGAAGAGAGCCGAGCGGAGCCGAAGATAGCCGAGCCCCGTAACCGGGTAACTATGCAAGGCGAATCAACAGCGGTGACGTAACCGGACAGCGTGGCTAGCGCAAGGGTGCCTATTACGTGGCCGTTTTCCCGTATTGTCCGATCGAGGCTACATAGGGAGCAGCGAAGGCTATTCACAGTCAGTTCTACTGTAACAGCCGCCGAGTTATAAAGTAACAGTCGCCGAGTCGAGACGTAAAGTCAGCCAGTCAGTTGTATTGTGGCATTTGGAGTGTGCTAATTGTGATACTGCAGATAGCAGTAATCGTAAATCTGTAATTTGGGTGATTGTATGAGCGAATGTGAAATAAAATTCGCTATATCAAATACGGCGAGAATTTATTTGTCGCGATATACCCCGCGATACGCGACAATATGTTTAATTGTTTAATATGTTTTAATTATGTTTAATAATAAAGTTATATTACTTTCATCCCACTACATCATTTGATATATCAAAATTAGCATCCAGGGGTTTTATGGATTAACTATGTCATTACTGATTTATTAAAATGGATCCATTTTTTAAATTTGCCAGTAATATTATAACCTAAATTTTAATTAAAAAAATATAATTAAAAATGTCTCAAATATTAAACATTTTAATATTGGTTTACAATCAACCATTATGCTGATGGCCCCTAAGTATACCTTTAATATACTACAAACAGCAGGACACAGAAAAATAAATATATACAGAATGGCCAGATTTTTAAAACTTCACCTGCAATTCCTTCAACATTAAATGAACTAACATTACAAGTTTCATAAACATAACATGCTGACTTTTGCACAGCACAATGCCTGCACAAGCAGAGTGCAATTACAAAACAAAACATCGATTAAGGAACTAACCAAACTACCACCCACCTAACTAACGCCATGGAACCGAGCCCTTCTTGTGAAGATGGCAGTTGTGCTACTATTCAGAAACTAAACTCCCAACACTTTTGGAACCAGAAGGTTCATTACTGTGTACACAAGAGCCCTCCATTGATTCTTATCCTGAGCCAGATCAATCCAGTCCATACCACCCCAGCCAATCTCTCTGAGACCCATTTTTATATCATCCTCCCACCTATATCTAGGTCTTGCTAGTCTTTCTGACTTTACCAACTAACTCCTTTATGTATTCAGCTCCTCCCTAAAGCATGCTACATGCCCTGCTCATCTTGTCCTCCTTGACTTGATCATTCTAATTATACTTCACAAAAATATGAGTAATGAAGCTTCTCATTATGCAGTTTTCTCCTGGCCTCTATCACTTCATCCATCTTGAGTCCAAATATACTCCTCAGCACCCTGATCTCAAACATCCTCAATCTATGTTCCTCCCTTGAAGTCACAGACCCATACAAAACCAAAGGCAAAATTATAGTTTTGTATAGTTTACTTTTTACGTTTTTAGATAGCGCATGAGAAGACAAAAAGTTTCTGAAGTGAATGGTAGCAAGCATTACCCGAATTCAGTCTCCTCTTTAATTTCCTCCACCGTAACCTTGCAAGTCATAGAAGGTAATAGGAAGGGAAGCCGTCCAGGTAGAGGGTTGGAAGCAAAGCTGACAAACTTTCTCTGTAGAAAAATTATTGTTGCAAAATCCAAAGAAGTGAAAACCAGATCAAATCTTGCAGAATCTTCTAAACAAGGTTTTAGTTTAAAAAGTGCTCTTTTGCTGCTGCTGATAATTTTCACGGAGCAAAGCATCACTACAAAACAGAACAGCACCCTTCAAACTTTCTGTATATATAATCCATTCCTCCCCAGTTACCCTTGTTTCAATTTCCTCAATGAAGATAAAGAACATCATCGTCATCATGTAATTATACAATGTCATAACCCAGAAAACCAATTCTGTCATGTCATGATACCCTCTAATTTCATATAACTTTAATTACGTTTAGAGTTACACTTTGTTGTGTATTCAAGTGTGTCAGAAAATCTTTCCATCAGACAGTGCTATACTTACATTCATTAAATGTACAGCATTCACAGCTGCATAATGGATGTCACTTTTTAATATTGGCTTCATTTGAACATCTTTCTTATTCCAAAATTCATACTGATCTTCAATACACACACAGGCTAGTCTCCAGTCAAAGGCATCTGTATCCACTGCAAAAGAATTGCTATCATTATGGCACTGAGCCCAAACCAGAGGTTCCCACACTGTAGAAAGCCTTCCCTTCTCTTTCCCATAATTCACCTCTCTAAAAGTCTATTCTGTCTACCAAATTCACCTCATTCTCCCTTTCGATACAGAACCAGCTGCACATTTATAAAATGAACTAACTAACTAACTCCATGCAGTCAAGTTCATCTTGACAAACTGCCAGTTGTTCAGCTACTCAAGAATTTCTCAACACTTAATAGAAGCAGAAGGTTCATTACTATGCACATAACAGCCCTCCACGGGTCCCTATCCTGAGCCAGATCAATCCAGTCCATTCCAAACTATACTATCCAAGATTGATACTAAGATCCATTTTTATATTATCTTCCCACCTACGTCTAGGTCTTCTTAATGGTGTCTCTCTTCCCTAACAATGGAGATTACTCGACCATCATGCTTACATAACTAACAGCTACCATCTCACAACTTCTCCTGAATGCAACAAACCTCAGAGTCAGGGTCAGAGTTGCTTTACGACTGGCGATTTATCACCAATCAGTTTCTCTTGGAACCGAGCCTCTTGGGGTTCATGATAACAATTTTTTTCAACTGAACCCTTGTGGTCATAGCCCTTATGTAACATCCTCTCTCATGAGAGGACATGTTTACCTCTTATGAATATATTTGGCCTATCGTCAAGTGTACGTATCACACTTATAACATGTTATTGAAAATCCTTCCTTGTGCACTGTATACAAGACCTCCTGTCAGTCCGGGCTATGCACAACAGATCATGTCTATCTTACTTATCTTATGCTACAACGGCAGCTTAATCACTTGAATGGTCATAAGCTTCACCGTTGCCAAGCTTAAGCCTCTTATAATTTCTATGTCTGGCCTCCCCTTGTCCTGTACTGTGAACATGTTCATTTCTGGCTCCATTATTCCGGCCTTCTAGCTGTCATGTCACAATATTCTAACCATCCAAGACATCAACAGCAAAAATCAGATATCCAGAACTTGAAACCCACAATTTTTGGTTAGAGAAAATTTCTTGCCTACAACAGAAAAATATTTACAAATTCAGTCATAAGTTCACTTCCCAGTAAAAGCACATATACGTACCTGGAACTGGAGGATATTCATTACCCCACCTCTTCGTAATGCGTGATCTCCATACTGTTATGTCAGAAAGTATTTCATGGAAGCGTTTACATACCAAGCTTAAAGAACGAGTAATAAATCTTGCATCCAAATATGAACATATATGAAGAAAAATCTGTAACAAAGAAAACTACTATTTTATCCTATTTTTTGGGTATGTTTGTAAAATAATGTGCTAAGGTCAAGGTAAAGTTGTCCCTGTACTTATCAAATTAAGCACTAGTTTGAGGTGAGTGGTCAGCTTCACACCCCAGCCACTTTACCCCCAGGGAAAAAGAGCCCCTGGTACCCATTGACTACGTTGGGTGGGCCTCACAGCCAGTCTGGATGACATGGAGTAGATAAAATTCTTTACCCTACAGGGGCCTGAACTCCAACCCCTCAGTCATCCAGGCAGTAGCCAATCACTATACCAACTACGCTATCCCAGCTCCTATCTAAAATCAGGGGTACCAGTATTATTTTTGGAGGTCCATCTATGTGAAAAAACTCAGATTTGACTGGATGTAATATTACCTTTGGTCCAAGACAGCTCCTCTAAATTCATAATGCATTTTCTTTATTCTGAATAACACTGATCTATCAGTGTTGCCGACAGACAAGAAAGGAAATGACATAAGAAAATGGGGCAGGTGAGAAATGCATGTACTAAGTTTTGATTGAAAACCTAAAGGTAGACTTAGGCATAAATTGGATAATATTAAGATGAATTTAATGTAAATAAGTGTGCGAGGGTGAAGCTGATAGAACTGGGCTCCAATATGGTCCACTGGAATGCACTTGTGAACACAGTGATAAAACGTCAGAGTTCCATAATGGTGGGGAAATTGTTGAGGGGTCAATGGCTATTAACTTCTTAGGATGGACACTATACACAGTCAGAGCGAGTCAGTTACTTAGTTGTTGATTTGTTATCTCATAAACCAGAATTTGATATGCAGATCTAGCACTATTGATTGTCCTATTGATGCACATGTGTGTTCAATTCAATTCAATTCAATTTATTTCAAATTCAGGTTGGTGGGTTGTGTTCTCTCATGTTGTGTGTTGTGTGTCTTGTTCATCAATGATGGATATAATACAGCAATAACATAAACAATACACAGTATAAATACATATAACTGTAGTAAACTGTAATTACATAAATGAATACAAATTCTAAATATGATCCCAAAATGACAACAGTTTTGGTTGCAAACATAATTAAAGATTCAAAAGATGACAAACCTCTACTGGAATGTTTTCTAAGGACCACTGTTTAACACTGGTGTCACTGCATTCAACCGCTGACACATCACACATTTCAATGTTGCTCTGGAATGAATGAGTACTAAAAATTAATCCTGTGCAATTATTCTCATTTTAACACAAATGTGAGGAAAGCTGTTCAGGTGTTGAGGGTTTTGTCCGTTTGTCTGTTGGGTTATGCTTATGAGGAAAGTAGGTTTATCAAATCACTCTAAATGCTGTTAAAATCAAAAAGATAAATTAATGCTGAAATGTTTATAAACATTTATCATTATTTATACAAATGGGGCCTTTACAATACACAATGTGCAGTACGTTCTAGCCATCGAGCTTTACTGAGTCTACACAATTAACTCTGCAAACTGCATTTCGTAACAATTTAACTTTGAGCACTTCAGTTCCTCATTTTAACACAAATGTGAGGAAAGCTGTTCAGGTGTTGAGGGTTTTGTCCGTTTGTCTGTTGGGTTATGCTTATGAGGAAAGTAGGTTTATCAAATCACTCTAAATGCTGTTAAAATCAAAAAGATAAATTAATGCTGAAATGTTTATAAACATTTATCATTATTTATACAAATGGGGCCTTTACAATACACAATGTGCAGTACGTTCTAGCCATCGAGCTTTACTGAGACTACACAATTAACTCTGCAAACTGCATTTCGTAACAACAATTTAACTTTGAGCACTTCAGTTCCTCAAATTGGCTATTCCAGTAAATAATGTACAGGTTATAAACAAATCTTTTGATACTTTTACTGTGACCTATGAGTTTTGTTCCCAACTGACCGCAACAGAAACTCTATATTTATGTAAACTATATAATTACTTCCAACTTCTAATTCTTGGAAGAGTTAGCTATCGACAGTAACAACCTATTAACCACCAAAATAAACACGAAAACAATCCTCAATCAGCTGCTGTTATATACGCAAATACATGTTCTTACTGTGTTCTTGTCCTTCTACTCCCCAACCCGTGGGACGCGTGCGGCTATGTCTATTATGTGCTCATACACCAACACATAAACAAGGAATAACAAAGTATACCACCTGGAAGAACAAGCACAGACTCGGGACATAACAACTTCTGCCCACAAATTGCTTTAGATTCTACAAAGGAATTTAGCCTAAATTTGAGTGCTTAAATTAGAACGTGCTCGAAGTTATATAACTTGGCACAAAAACGTAAGGAGGTTGTTCTTTGTTGGAAAATATATTTATTTGAAAAAAAAAAAATTATATATATATATATATATATAGATACATGTATATACAAAAATGGCCTAGACAATGCCCATCCGCTCCTTGTTGAATTTCTTTAATTATGGGAAGTAATTGTTGAATTTGATACGTGCGACACAGTGCCATCTATATTAGTAATTCAAAGTACTTCAAATATTAGTAACCAGTCACGTTCATATGGTTTGCGTAGCGAGTGTTGGCGGTTTATTTAAATTGTCCTGCTGTATCTGATCTGATGTCATATGCGAATTTCCCTTTCCAATAATGTGTGATTATCGATAGTGACCATGGCGTTGCCTATCTATATTTAATGAATGGTGCCCAGTCCCTCCTAAATTTGTAGTATTTTTAGTACTGCTATAAGTAGGTGTATTGGTATGCAATTCAAATAAAGTTGATGAAGTAATTATTATTGTGTTGTTCCATTCCATTTACATATTATATCACATATTTACACATCTTCTTAAATGCTAAGGGAAAAGATGTCCCTGTACCTAATTAATTAAGCACCACACCATGAAGAGGTACTGGGAGTGGAGGCATAGCTTCACTGTTCTTCACCATGGAACTAGATGGGAGGTGAGTGGTCACTGTCACGCCCCGGCCACTTTACCTCCGGCAAAGGTCCCCCTAGTACCCACTGGATAGGAGGCTATGTGGGCCCCAGAGCAAATTTGGATGATGTGGAATACAAAAAAATCTCTTGCCTCTTCCAGGAATTGAACCCAGGCAATCCAGTTAATAGCCTGTTACTGTACTGAGGTGTTCTAACTTTCTTAGTGTTTATTACCCTATGACTATGTACAGAACCTCGTGTAAATAAAACGATTCCTTTAAACTTAATTTCATTAAGGACTACATATTTCTTTTTCATATATTCTTCAGTCTACTCAATACTTATTTATCTAACAGCTTGATATGTATTCAAGTAACTAACGCTTGATAAAACAACCTAAACGTTCAATTGAGCATACTAAAAACTGCCATTCAACACAGCATTGCACCAACAATTTACTCCACCTCCCGTTATCATAACCTGTTTTGTTAAGTCCTTTTTAACATTACCCTCCCATCACTACCTCAGTTTTCTATTATATGAAAAATGACTTACTTCCTGCATCCCTCTTGCATCCAAATATTTTCATTAGCATTTTTATGGGGTTATGGTACTATTATGCCTATGTGTCTGACCCCTCTCTAATAATTTTCGAAACAATAGTTGGTTCTTCATGTAACTCAGTATGGATATAAACCAAAGAGATGTCCCTCACTCCTCTTCTTAATGTAGTGGCCGATTTACGGTCCACTTGGCCCTATTCATCGATCTAAATATGTCCAAAAGTACAGTGAAAATAAATCCATAGAAATGAACTAATTACTTCTAACAATATGGGAAATTTTTCTTCCTGCCATTAATTAAAACGTACTCTTTGTTTTTCACTTAAGTGATAAATTTTCAAATTGTTCAGTAACTCTTTGTGGCTGGCCTCCGCCTTCGCCTGGTAGCTTCTCGTTTCTTCTCGCATGGCCATTATTTGTTGTGACTCCATTCTTCTTCTTTTTTTTTTTTTTTTTAATGTAACGCTTGTTGTGCTCGTAAATTCAATCATTCCTCGTAAATCGAGGCGTGTTTAAGTTCGCTCCTTGTCGGTCACGTGTGCAAGTCCAATCCTTTAAATTCGATCCGATTAATCCCACTTCTGACACTAGTTGTCACGTGACAATTAACTCCACGTGGGTCTCGGATTTAGCGAATCTTTATTGGACACTCACACTTACACACCGTACAGTTATTACCACTTGCAGTATCACAATTACTGCCTCTACTTCAATGCGACATCTCAACTGTTCTTGGTCGTGGCTGAATCCAAATTGTCTCGTTCGTACGTGTCCAAGTCCAAGTCTAAGTCCAAGTCACATTGCGACCGACGGTCAGTCAGTCGCAATGTGACTTGCTGTCGAGTGGTGAAGTTAGTTGTCACGTGAAAAATAACTTCACGTGGGTCTCGGATTTAGCGAATCTTTACTGGATACTCACACTTACGCTCTTTACAATTATTATCAGTTGTAGTATCACTTGGCTTCTGTCTCAATAATCAATTCTCAATTCTCTAATACTCAACTTCCGTTCGAGGCCAGGCCCTTTATATAAGGAGCACACGGACTCAATAGAGGACACCCCTCGCCAAGGTTCGATCTCACGTGTTCGGCAATCCGTTGCTTCGGGAACGTTCTTTATAGATTACAGCGGTAAAGTGTTTCGTCTCATCCGTTTTTACTCAATGACAATTCGTTGCTACGATTTGTCGCTGCGGGAACTCCAAAATTTCCACGTATTCGTTGTCGTGGAACGGAAGTGTCCGTTCCTATTGTAGCGGTTGTCGCGGTGATGGACGTAAGGTAACGCGTCACAATATATTTACAAATTTAATCTTAATTCCTATTTCTATGCACAATATATACAAGGCCTCTGTCAATCCAGGCTCGGCACAGCAGATTATGCCCTATTTCTAGAAGTATTCGCTACCACGGCAGTCTAGTCACTAGAACGGTCGTATGCCTGACCGCCGCCAGGTTTAAGCCTCTTATACTTTTTATGTCGTGCTTCGCCTTGTCCGATGTTGCGAACATTATCATTTTCATGATTTTGTATGACTTCTGCTTGTTTCCTGCATAATTTTGTTATATAGTCATATACGTATGGGATTTTGAATGCCATGTGCAAATCGCGGACCGGTGTGGCCCCTTGGAAATTTGCCAGTGGTGCGGAGAACCTTGTTTTGCAGGCGCTGCAGTTTCACTAGATGGGTGTCTGCCGCGAATTCCCAGGCGGGACTAGCATAAGTCATTACGGATCTAATGAGAGCTTTGTGGAGGGTCATTTTAATGTTAACGCTCAATCGCTCACTTTTGAATACTCTAATGAATGTTCTGAAGACCTTGGCGAAGAAGTTGCAGGTGGCAACCTCTTTAGGGGGCGTGATTTCAGCGGCTGCCACTTTTTTCTTCAAGGTCGGGGCGGCCTCATTGGTACCGTGCCGCTTGCGCTGCCGGACTTCTTTCCAACCGTCCTCCTGGGTTGAAGAGGACTTAGTTGCCTCAGACTGAGCAGTTTGCTCACCTTCAGCACGGCCTTTAACTCCTGTAAGGCGACTGTGTATGTACCATACAGGGCACGTGCTGTCTCTGGCTCTGCTTATATAGGCGTTCTGCGGACCGGATACCATACACCATTCCTCACAGTTCCGTTTCTACTATTTCGACAGACTGCTGTTATGCAACGAACCTTTCTTCGGTTGTTCATCTCCAGGGAAACGCGTTCGTTGTCTACGCCACAGTTCACTGTTATTGCGTTACCATGGAAGTATCTGTTCCAAACACGTTACAATATTCACTCACTTCATGTATGTTTTTTTTACATTTATTTCATTTAAAACCATCCATTAACTCCTCATAACTCACGTCTTGCAACGTAAAATTTTTCTGCTGCTAATACAGAGGTCATGAAAGTTTCTAAGGTGAGAGCACCACTTTCGCCACTAGACGGTACAAATGTGGCTCAACGAATCTCATCTTCAGTGGGATGTAGTCCTCACTGAGATAATTTCAGGCACATAAAAAAAGAGTAGCAGCTCAAATACAATAACAGAAAAGCAGAAATAGCATATAATACCCACCATATAAAACACATTAATATAACATGGTTCATATTACAGATAAATCAAACATGGGTTTAGACACAAACACATTGCATAACATAATCTGAATTAAACATCTATAAGGGTCTAATACATCAAAAGGAAAGCATAGCAGACTCCTTCAACACACTCTGTAACCTAATGATGACCAGTTAGGTAGACAGATATTGTGAAATAAAACAGAAAGAAGAAATCTCAAAACCTAGCAGATTTTGATTGAGTTGCATGAGGAGAGATAAGAATCAGGACAGTATTCACGTTCACATAATGAGGAATCTGAGGCTATGAATAAAAGGTGAAAATACAACAAGGCCCAGAAATAAGGACAGTAAAGTAAATTGAAAACATACAGAAATTTCAGTTCATAAATTTTCCTATTTTATTTCATATAATGTGGCATACATTGGAAGTGCCTAACATGACATACATTTAAACACAGAATACACATGTGAGATTTGAGGTTCCCAAGGTGGTTAATGTTGTCTGAGGTGCGACAACATGTAGTCTGATAGAAAGATACTAATGTTTCTGGGAAGCTGGCTGCCTCCATCTTCAGGATAATGGTGTAAGCTGTGTGGAAAATGAGGGTGCACATGCAGAGTAAGGAGGAAATGAAAGGGGCTACATTCATGTCCCTGGGAGATGGTATCCCTTAAAGAGGCAGGGCCAAACATTTCAGGGAAAAATATAGGAAATATTTTTTGACGAAAAGATGTTAAGAAAATTCGTTTCTGAGAAAGAAGTGCAAGGAGGTAGGCTGGATGGTACTGTCATCTGCTGGCCTGTTCGCATCCCTTTCCCTTTCTTTCTTTCTTTCCCTATATCTGTGCACTCAGCTTCCAACGTGCCTTACTCTTCTATAATGAAGGTGAGGGCAGTGGATTCCTCCAAAACGCAGGTACCTTTCTACCAGACTACATGGTGTCACATCCCATTAAACAGTAGTCTTCTGAATCTACAGATTATACAGCTTTTATGTCACATACTTTATGCTACAAGCCGGAAGCTCGCGGGTTCAAGTCCCGATGAAGTCATTGGAATTTTTCAGTTGACCTAATCCTTCCAGCCGCACTAGGCCCTGGGGTTTACTCAGCCTCTAACAGAAATGAGTACCAGGAATTAATTAAATAACTTTCCTGGGGAGTAAAGCGCGGCCGGTGCGTAAAGGCCAACAACCTTACTGCCATCTTTGAGCTGATTGTGTAGATAGTGTGGGACCCTCAACGTCTCACAACACTATGGGCCTTCATGGCTTGGTACAGGGATAGCTTTACTTTTTTTATTTACTTTTGAAATATTTGTAACAAATATAAAATTCTGCCAAAAAAGAAATTAAAAAGAATTCTGTATTGTGCAATGTGTTGATCTTGCAAATGTTGTCCTATAATAAATGAATTTGGGGAGTTCTAAAATTCTTTATTAGATTTGATCCTGTCTCTTCAACTCACTTGATTCAACAAATTTGTAATTCTCGTTTTAAATACTGCAACATGTACTGAACAATGTGCTTAGGAATACGTATGTTTAAAGACCATCCTTAAATTCCAGTGGAAAAGCAAGAATAATCAAGGTACTGGAAACATCTCTATTTATAAATAAATGTGTTTTATTTTGGATAAAAAGTGGATTTGAAATGCGGAATAGGTGGAAACATCATGATTCTTATATAGTATAAAATTTAACACATCAACATGGTATTATGCAATTGTGAGCAGAATAAAAGAATTAAAATATATAACAGAATGTTACAAGTTGTTATGTATAAATGTGAAACATGAAAAGATGTTAAATGTACAGGAGAGGAGAATGTTGATGGAAGTATATAGATCAATAATTGAACAAAGGGTTTGGAGAATCATGACTAACAAAGAACTGAGGGAATTATATAAAATCCCTGACCAGGTATGAGATATTATATGAAGAAGGCTGGAGTGGTTGAGACATGTGATTAGAAGGGATTAAACAAGGGTGACTAAGAAAACTTATAAAAATAAGTCTGAAAGTGGTTGACAAGTGGGAAGGGCCAGACTGAGATGGCTGGAAGTTGTACAACATTATCTACAGGAGCTGAAACAAAACAGATGATTGGACAGGGCAAATAGTAATAGGTATCTTGTCATACTGGAGGCAAAGGCTCTTAGGTAACGATAAGCCACAGAATAAGTATGCAAGTAAGCATGGGATAATTTGTAATGCAAAGGTATGAGGTCTGGTGTCAAATACTAGAGAGTACTGAATGTGATTTATATTTAAAAAAACAAAATTACTTAAGTTGTTAATCAATTTATAGTTACATTATAACCTGATTTCAGTTAGAGGTACTTTTCATGTTCTGACAAATTGCACCATAGCACTCCAAAGCAGGGACTACAACAAGCAGGTACAGCATGCTCTTTCACTGTGCTTCAAATATATTCCAGTTCCAGAGATGCCAAGTATCAGCAACCATTCCGAGCCACTTTCACTATTTCGGGCTGACCAGGTAGTGTCTCTACACCAATGAGAATCATTGAGCTGTTTAGCTTTAGTTCAGGTGTACTCTCTGTGTCCACTTCATCTTCTATGTAGCTCATATTTGCATTCTGATCCAAAAGGAGTATGTGTCCTCCCACTGAAATGAAGCAAGACCTTTCAGTTCTGATTCTGTTATTACCGTCACTAATTCTCATCCTCTTTCTGTTTGGTGATATGATAAAGTCCCATAAATGTATGTGCTTCTGATCATCCAGCATGAAGGGGAAATTTTCTATGGTGAATACAAAGTAACAATCATATGAAGATTTTCAGCTATTTAACCTTTAAACGCCGGACTTCTGAAATAGTGGTAAGCTTGAGCTGGCCAGAGTTTATTTAAATGCCTGCTGCTGGTGCCCGTTTAAATGCCCGTTGGTACTCTGCGTTTAAATGTCCGTTTCTGTTAGTGCGCCTAAACAATTTTAAGCATTGTGTTTAAAAATGCTGTATCTAACTCAATTTTTATGAAAAATGGATGGAATTATTTTTTTTTGTATCAGCAAAGAACATACTGTCGCATATTATAACGGAAGATTTGAAAATTTACGTACAAAGAGTTACTCTATTTTCAATTTTTTGTCTTTTAATTTTGATGAGTACTGCAAAAATGATTTCCCAGTTCTTCACAGAGTTGTTCTGCATTACAAATTCATTTCTGTTTGTAACACTTGACAAATTTTAGCAGTCCCTGGTGTCATAAAACAGATGGAAGCAATAAAATCATTTGGTCTTCTGCTAGCACTGCTTACACTTTTCGGATTTTCGAATCTTTGACTGAAGGTCAGAAGAATGAAAGAATGGCTATTCAAGAGAAAGCTAGAGGGGTCCCTTCTTCAGTTCTAAGGCCTTCCGTTATAGCTGCAAAAGCTTGTTGCCCTTTCTATGGGCCTGAACAGACAGCTGCATCGCGGCTGAGATTCAGAGTGCGGTCAGTTTTCTGTGCGTGCTTAGTGAAATCGAATACTGTAGTTTTATTTCAGCCTAGATATACATCAAGCAGATAACAACAAAAAAGGTATGTACATCGAATTTTACTATATATTTTTAACACATAGATCTACGGAATCTGCAATAAAAGTACTGGCTCATGGATGAGTTTGGGCATAACTCATATGTATACTCTTTTTTGTTGTTGTTCACCTAGGTATCATTTTAATTTTTCGATTAGGGCTTTACTCAAGACTGTCTGGTAATTACTACATTTAAAAATAAATATTTAGGACTGTGCATTCGTTTCTATCAGCGGCATGTGCGCGCGCTTCCCCTAGCATAGTTTAAATGCCCGACTGGCCAAAATGGGGTACTTTGGCCACGACGACCTTACTCACCACTGGCACAAACGGGGCACTTCGGCACTTAAAGGTTAAATTTGTTTAGTCTCTTGGGGTGGGGTGAGACTGAGTCCACTTGGTACGTCAGCCACTAACTGTCCTATCTTACCAGCCCCAGACTGGGGAGACAGCCTGACCCAGTGTCATTTTATTCACCACAAATCCCACATGACTTGACCTGGGTCCGAACCCGGCCATCATGGTGGGAAACTGGCGACTAACCACCTGAGCTATGGCACAGCCTTATTTTTCAGCTATATAGTCATACTCTATGTTTCATATTATACATACTTCATGACAATGAACCTAGATCTTAATATGTGAGATGTGAGTTTATCATAGCAGTGACTATGAAGATTAACTGTCTGTAATCTTCATAGTTATTCAGTCATCAAAATCACTGGGCCTTTGGACTCTGTCCATTGCCCAGTATTCCAGAAACTAGAAAACACATTTCAGAAACTGGATCTGCCTCCATCCTCAGGTGAGGGGGGAGGGGGAAGACACCTACTTGGGTGGGCCATAATTATTAATAATCCTTTTTTTTCAGTTCCTTATTGTATTCATGTTTACCCCTTCATTGGCCACTGGCTGAATAAATTGGCTCAGCATACTTATGTCATACATGCTACAGCCATATAATCAACCAGCTGTCTGTCAGTTACTACAGTATTTCTGTCAATAGACAGCATCTGATATGATACACTGACGTTTGGAGTAAACAACAGGCTTTAACATGATCTACTTCTGTTGTTGTTTGAAGGTCATTACAGCAAGTATTGTAGGGTTTTCTGTACAGCTGTATTTACAACTATGCAACCTTCATGCTTCTAGTATGTAATTCTGTGGTAGGCTTTGTAATTCTGTATTTCAGTGGTGAATATACAAACATTGCAATATTGACAGATGATAAATACATGGACGTTAAGCAGGCTTTGTAATTAAAAGATAAAACAAGCGAGTAGTTTTATACATAAGAGAGAGAGAGAGAGAGAGAGAGAGAGTGGTTTTACCAGACTACACATGTGTAACATTTATATATCTCTGAGGTAACCAGTCATGTCTACAATTTGTGATAACAGAATTATTTGAATGATATATATTTAGGAATAAAAAATGAGTGAAAGGGTTAATAGCTAGGAACAACAGGGAAGCAAACAAGTGTTTACCTTTCTCAAGTGGTTTGCACCTGCAGTCTACACCTAACACAAGCTTCACCACCCTTCGTATCCTGCGTGCAGGTTGCCCAGGGCTCATGTTCATCAGCAATCTGGAATTATTGTCCTTCCTTGTAGACAGTTTGTACACTGTGCCTGAGTTGCAGTAGAGTTCAGTGAAATTGCTAGGAGGACTGTCATCACAGGTAGGACATGAAATGGCAGCACCTAGTGAAGAATAATTAATTTAAGTCACCACCAAAAACCCTTACCAACCCATCATCTAGGCCCACGACAATCATACCTGCTACCACACCAAGTTCTCTTCATATCAACCACCAAAATTACAACCCAAACACAACCACCTCCATGTTTCACTCCCTCCCATCTTACAACACTTATAACCATTATCACAGGGAGGTGTTGGGAGGAGAGAACAGGATTAGAGGGTAGAAGTGTAAGTGTGATATGAGGAGAAGAGCCTGAAACTCAAGGGAAGATGGAAGAGGGCAGGATAAAGATTGGGAAGTGATGAGAAGGTTGGTGGGCGGTGTGTAGGAGAAGAGGGGAAGGAGTATGGAACTGGATAAAGTGGGAAGGAGGAGAAAAAGTAGTAGGGAGTGCTCAGAATTACTGGGCTTTTGGACTTTGTCCACCGCCCTGTATTCAAAAAAACATAAAAGAGCACAGAATTTTGGAAACTGGATCTGTTTCTGTCCTCAAGTGTTGGAGACAATTGCTCTGTTTGGACACGGGAAAAAAAAAACTGAACAACTGGTCCAGTCACACTTTCATAAGTGTTATACACCACCTGTTACATTAGGATCTACGTCAGCTTGAGGTAATGCGTACGATGGTACAGGTCCTTCTTCTCCCGATGGGGTTTCCATTTCGTGGTCCACATCCACAAACTGTGCGTTCAGTCCCTCGGTTCCATTCATACTGTTCAGTGTGCTACTGTCTGCTTGAATCACATCAACCTGTACTTCATCTGCAAGGAGTATAATTTCATATAAAAGCAGGATGAATAAGCCAGCAACTGAAGATGAAATACATACGCAGCTTTACAGGCAACTTGTGAAACCATTGAAAGCACAAACATACAGATGATATTTCTACTTCACTTCATTCTGCGTTTTATGATTAGATATCCACAATTAAACATTTACTGAAAATTATTTTGTCAGTAGAATCATTCTGAATCAGGCACACCACCTGCTTTGCCACACACCTGACTGCTCTGGCCTGCGCTGCTACTTCAATGCACTGGGGATTGTCTGTGGGTCCTGATTGGCCAGAGCACTACCTCATGATGGGGACACTCAAAGGTCAAAGGGCTGGGGCTACACAAAAAGGTATCCTCTAGTTCTCCAGGTTGGGGATTGAGCATGAGGCTAAGAACCCAAGCTCAGAAAATAATATGTGTAAAGAAACCTTATCTCAGAATGAAAGTAGATAGGTAAATTCTTTTCCTGGAATTCAATTTTTTCACTTGTATGAAATTAGTCAACATGGTGGTCACCTAGAACACAATGGATATGTCTGACAAAGGCTAAATATGTGTGTTTTTTATAATAAGCAGTATAAAAATCGTTATCTGATCAATATGAGGATGTAATATTGGCTCTTTGCACAGGTTTCTGAAACATTAGATGAAAGAAAAATATCTCTTATAAGTTTCACAAACTACCATCTAATTATTTAAGAATATAACTATCAGTTTTAAATTTTGAGTAACTATAGTTCTGTAAAGTTTTGTTTACATCTGATTGGAATATCTAAGAAGATACTGAAGAATAGTCTATATCAAGGAACTGTACAATATAGGGCTGGAAGCTTTTGTATGATTGCTGATGAATTGTGTGTGGCTACTTACTGATGTTTGCAGTCACCTCTTGAAAATCTTGTGGCAGGACATCAACAGCTTCCAGTTCATCAGAGAGGGATTCTTGCTTTGTAATGACTCCATCTTCATTGAAGATGTCTGGCTGAGGATGAGGCAGCTTCTCATTCCTGCAGCCTCCATCAGTGGTGTACTTCTACAGACACACAGCTACCATCACAACTCTGTCTACTACAACACTGTACGTACACTGTCTTGACTAGTCTGGCTGTGTTATGTTGCAGTGTGGTCATAACATTTACAAGCAAAGAATATGCTGAGATGCATTTCATGATAATATTCATGTCAGCTCCCACACACACATTTAATGATGTATTGTTTCGGGAATCATGTCTCCATCATTTAAAAGGTTAAAATTGATGTGAATTACCTCAAGATTTACAGAAATTTGCTACCCTCCTATAGGCAGATGCTCTAACAGAAATGAGTACCAGGAATCTTCCTGGGAGGTAAAAGCGGCTGGCACATAAGGCTGACAACCTCACCTCCATCTGTGAGCCAAATGTCTAGAAAATGTGAGATCCTTGATGTCTCACAATGCTATGTGCCTCCACGGCCTGTTACAGGGATAGCTTTACGTTTAACTTATGGGCTGATGTCTTTTACCCTGTTCTGCTTACTCCTAGGGGTTCATTTAGGGGCCTACTCCCAGTCCTCCATCTTACTGTGTACAGTCACTGAAAAATAATTCGGTGTTTCAGTGTTAGTATATTGGTAAATTCGAGACATGTTATTGTGATATGCAGAAACCCCTCAGGTCTTGTCCTCAACTGTTCTGTGCAGTGTTAGTGTTGCAATGATTGATGTCCATTATTAGTCATACAGTGGTAGTCATGTATGTCAGTCAGTCAGTGAGAAAGCTGGATGGATAATTCTTGGAAATGACTCAGGAAAGAACTTAAGCACAATGAGTTATATCATGGCTGGAACATGTAGAGAGTGATTTATGAGCTATGAAAGTGAAAAGATGGAGACAGAAGGTAAATAAGAGATGAGAATAGGGATCTGTTTCAGTGGAGGCCAATGTTCTTATTGGAGTGGTCAGCAGTAAGCAAAGTAAGTAAAGCTATCCCTGTACCAGGCCATGAAGGCCCATAGGGTTGTGAGGCATTGAGGGTCCCACATTATCCAGACAATCGGCTCAATGATGGCGGTAAGGTTGTCAACCTTACGCACCGGCCGCGCTTTACTCCCCAGAAAAATTATTTAATTAATTCCTGGTACTTATTTCTGTTAGAGGCTGAGTGAACCCTAGGGCCATAGTGCAGCTGGAAGAATTAAGTCAATTGAAAATAATCCGATGACCTCCTCGGGACTTGAACCCACGACTTTCCGGCTTGTAGAATAGCCCCTCAACGTAAGTTGCAGATTTAATAATCGCAATGTATAAAAAACATGTGAGTTTAACGTGGCTCTGAAATTTTCTAGATTTTATTCAGGGAAAGAATATGAATTCAGTCTTTGATAGGTAATAAAATTCTGGAAGTAACTTTCCACATCCACCCAGTCTGTCAAAACAACGCTGTGAATTTCAGAACTATTCCGAAGTACACTGTGGTACAACCTGGAATAACATACCGTTCATAGTCGCTGTTGTGAAAACCTCAAATCCAACAATGCAAGTTAAAATGAACTCACTGTTGACACTGACAGTTCTTGCTGGTAATAGTCATATACTCTGACAATTGCAGGAGCTGGGTTTTCTACTTCTGTCTCCTGTACCACAAGAAAGCCAACGCACTGCCTCCTGGTTGAGAGCTCTTCAAAGTACAAATTCACATGATCCTTAGCTTCCTCCCACCGCTTGACACCTGCAACAGCACTCCAGATCTTACACATTCCTTGCATGATGGCCTGCATAATGGAGCTATGAAAATATTTTACCATCTCTGAAACCACTCATTAGATTTTAATGAAATTTAGTAAAGGGACTATGTCAAAAGTTGTAACATAACTATCGAACCAGAGGTAGCCCAATACCCTGGCTTTATTGATAATTTGATATGGCAATGAATGGTGTGCAACAAAAGTAAAAGACGAAACAAGAACTAGAGAAGCTGAAATTAAATTTATGAAAAAAGATATGAAATAAGTTGCATAGTCTATAAAAGAAATAAAGGTATATTAAGTTAGGTGAGGTGAGGTGAAGTGATGTCAGGTGACGTGACGTGACTTGGAGTGATTGGACGAAACTTGACGTGACTTAACGTTACTTGGCGTGACTTAGCATGACTTGGCGTGATTTTACGTGACCTGACGTGACGTGACTTGTGACTTGGCGTGATTTGACGTGACTTGACATGACATGACGTGAGGCGAGACGCGGCGAGTCGAGGTTAGGGTAGGCTAGGCTAGGTTAGGTTAGATTAGGTTAGGTTAAATTCGGTTAGGTTAGGCTAGGATAGGTTAGGCTAGATTTGCACAGAAGACCTGTGCGCAACAATCAGTAACTGAGGGGTACCATTCCCTGCTGTTAAGTTAGGTGAGGTGAGTTGAGGTGAGGTGAGGTGAGGTGAGGTGACTTGACGTGACTTGGCCTGATTTGGCTTGACTTGGGGTGACTTGACGTGACTTGGCGTAACATGATGTGACTTGACTGACATGACGTGACTTGGCGTGATTTGACGTGACTTGGCGTAACTTGACGTGACTGGAAGTGATTTGACTTGACTTGACGTTACTTAACGTGACATAACGTGAGGCGAGGCGAGGCAAGGCTAGGCTAGGCTAGGTTAGATTAGGTTACATTAAATTGGGTTAGGTTAGGTTAAGTTTGCGCTGTAGACCTGTGCGCATCAATCAGTAACTGAGGGGTACCATTCGGTGCTGTTAAGTTAGGTGAGATGAGGTGATGTGAGGTCAGGTGACGTGACGTGGCGTGACTTGGCGTGACTTGACGTGACTTGCCGTGACGTTGCGTGACTTCGCGTGATATGACGAGATTTGACGTGACTTGGCGTGACGTGACTTGACTTGGCGTGACGTGACTTGACATGACTTGGCGTGACTTCACGTGTCATGGCGTGACTTGACGTGAATTGACGTGACATAACGTGAGGCGAGGCGAGATGAGGCTAGGGTAGGTTAGGTTAGATTAGGTTATGTTAAATTAGGTTAGGTTAGGTTAGATTAGGTTAAGTTAGGTTGGGTTAGGTTAGGTTGGGTTAGGTTAGATTAGGTTAGGTTAAGNTTGACGTGACTTGGCGTGACTTGACGTGACTTGGCGTAACTTGACGTGACTGGAAGTGATTTGACTTGACTTGACGTTACTTGATGTGACATAACGTGAGGCGAGGCGAGGCTACGCTAGGCTAGGTTAGGTTAGATTAGGTGACATTAAATTAGGTTAGGTTAGGTTAGATTAGGTTAAGTTTGGTTAGGTTAGGTTTGCGCAGTAGACTTGTGCGCATCAATCAGTAACTGAGGGGTACAATTCCAAGCTCTTAAGTTAGGTGAAGTGACATCAGGTGACGTGACGTGACTTGGCGTGACTTGACGTGACTTGCCATGAAGTCGCGTGACTTGGCCTGATTTGACGAGATTTGACGTGACTTGGCGTGACGTGGCTTGACGTGTCATCAGGTGACTTGACGTGAATTGACGTGACATAACGTGAGGCGAGGCGAGGTGAGGCTAGGGTAGGTTAGGTTAGATTAGGTTATGTTAAATTAGGTTAGGTTAGATTAGGTTAAGTTAGGTTGGGTTAGGTTGGGTTAGGTTAGGTTAGGTTTGCGCTGTAGACCTGTGCGCATCAATCAGTAACTGAGGGGTGCAATTCCCTACTGTTAAGTTAGGTGAAGTGAGGTGAAGTGACGTCAGCTGACGTGACGTGACTTGGCGTGACTTGCCGTGATTTGACGTGACTTGCCGTAACTTGACGTGACTGGAAGTGATTTGACTTGACTTGACGTTACTTGATGTGACATAACGTGAGGTGAGGCGACGCTAGGCTAGGCTAGGCTAGGTTAGGTTAGATTAAGTTACGTTAAATTAGGTTAGGTTAGGTTAGGTTAGGTTAGGTTTGCGCTGTAAACCTGTGCGCATCAATCAGTAACTGAGGGGTACAATTCCCTGCTGTTAAGTTAGGTGAGGTGAGGTGAAGTGACGTCAGGTGACGTGACGTGACTTGGCGTGACTTGCCGTGACGTCGCGTGACTTGGCGTGACTTGCCGAGATTTGACGTGACTTGACGTGAGTTGGCGTGACCTGATGTGACATGGCGTAACTTGACGTGACTGGAAGTGATTTGACTTGACGTTACTTGACGTGACATAACGTGAGGCGAGGCTAGGCGAGGCGAGCCTAGGCTAGGTTAGGTTAGATTGGGTTACGTTAAATTAGGTTAGGTTAGATTAGGTTAAGTTAGGTTAGGTTTGGTTAGGTTAGGATTGGGCAGTAGACTTGTGCGCTACAATCAGAAACTGAGGGGTATAATTCCCTTCTGTTAAGTTAGGTGAGGTGAAGTGACGTCAGGTGACGTGACGTGACTTGGCGTGACTTGCCGTGACGTCGCGTGACTTGCCGTGACGTCGCGTGACTTCGCGTGATTTGACGAGATTTGACGTGACTTCGCGTGAAGTGACTTGACGTGACTTGGCGTGATTTGACGTGACTTGGCGTCACTTGACGTGTCATGGCGTGACTTTACGTGTCATGGCGTGACTTGACGTGTCATGGCGTGACTTGACGTGACATAACGTGAGGCGAGGCGAGGCGAGGTGAGGCTAGGGTAGGTTAGGTTAGATTAGGTTATGTTAAATTAGGTTAGGTTAGATTAGGTTAGGTAAGGTTTGGTTAGGTTAGGTTTGCGCTGTAGACCTGTGCGCATCAATCAGTAACTGAGGTGTACAATTCCCTGCTGTTAAGTTAGGTGAGGGTAGGTGAAGTGACGTCAGGTGACGTGACGTGACTTGGCGTGACTTGACGTGACTTGGCGTAACTTGACGTGACTGGAAGTGATTTGACTTGACTTGACGTTACTTGATGTGACATAACGTGAGGCGAGGCGAGGCTAGGCTAGGCTACGTTAGGTTTGATTAGGTTACGTTAAGTTACGTTAGGTTAGGTTAGATTAGGTTAAGTTAGGTTAGGTTTGGTTAGGTTAGGTTTGCGCAGTAGACTTGTGCGCATCAATCAGTAACTGAGGGGTACAATTCCAAGCTGTTTAGTTAGGTGAGGTGAGGTGAAGTGACGTCAGGTGACGTGACGTGACTTGTCGTGTCGTCGCGTGACTTGGTGTGATTTGACGAGATTTGACGTGACTTGGCGTGACTTGACGTGAATTGACGTGACATAACGTGAGGCGAGGCGAGGCTAGGGTAGGTTACATTAGGTTATGTTAAATTAGGTTAGGTTAGGTTAGATTAGGTTAAGTTAGGTTGGGTTAGGTTAGGTTAGGTTGGGTTAGGTTAGATTAAGTTAATTAAGGTTAGGTTAGGTTAGGTTTGCGCTGTAGACCTGTGCGTTTCAATCAGTAACTGAGGGGTACTATTCCGTGCTGTTAAGTTAGGTGAGATGAGGTGATGTGACGTCAGGTGACGTGACGTGACATGACTTGACGTGACTTGGCGTGACGTCGCGTGACTTGGCGTGATTTGACGAGATTTGACGTGACTTGGCGTGACGTGACTTGGCGTGACTTGGCGTGACGTGAGTTGACGTGACTTGGCGTGACTTGTGTCATGGTGTGACTTGACGTGAATTGACGTGACATAAAGTGAGGCGAGGAGAGGTGAGGCTAGGGTAGGTTAGCTTAGATTAGGTTATGTTAGGTTAGGTTAGGTTAGATTAGGTTAAGTTAGGTTGGGTTAGGTTAGGTTGGGTTAGATTAGGTTAGGTAAGGTTAGGTTAGGTTAGGTTTACATTGTAGACCTGTGCGCATTAATCAGTAACTGAGGGGTACAATTCCCTGCTGTTAAGTTAGGTGAGGTGAGGTGAAGTGACGTCAGGTGACGTGACGTGACGTGACATGACTTGACGTGACTTGGCGTGACGTCGCGTGACTTGGCGTGATTTGACGAGATTTGACGTGACTTGGCGTGACGTGACATGACGTGACTTGGCGTGACTTGATGTGACTTGGCGTGACTTGACGTGAATTGAAGTGACATAACGTGAGGTGAGGCGAGGCGAGGCTAGGGTAGGTTAGGTTAGGTTAGATTAGGTTATGTTAAATTAGGTCAAGTTAGGTTAGGTTAGATTAGGTTAAGTTAGGTTGGGTTAGGTTAGGTTGGGTTAGGTTAGATTAGGTTAGGTAAGGTTTGGTTAGGTTAGGTTAGGTTTTGCGCTGTAGACCTGTGCGCATCAATCAGTAACTGAGTGGTACAATTCCCTGGTGTTAAGTTAGGTGGGGTGAGGTGAAGTGACGTCAGTTGACGTGACGTGGCGTGACTTGGCGTGACTTGACGCGACTTGCCGTGACGTCGCGTGACTTGGCGTGATTTGACGTGACTTGGCGTGACGTGACTTGGCGTGACTTGACGTGACTTGGCGTGACTTGGCGTGACTTGACGTGTCATGGCGTGAGGCGAGGCGAGGCTAGGGTAGGTTATGTTAGGTTATGTTAAATTAGGTTAGGTTAGGTTAGATTAGGTTAAGTTAGGTTGGGTTAGGTTAGGTTAGATTAGGTTAGGTAAGGTTAGGTTAGGTTTGCGCTGTAGACGTGTGCGCATCAATCAGTAACTGAGGGGTACCATTCCGTGCTGTTAAGTTAGGTGAAGTGAGGTGAAGTTACGTCAGGTGACGTGACGTGATTTGACTGGACTTGACGTTACTTGACGTGACTTTGCGTGACTTGGCGTGATTTGCCATGATTTGAGGTGACTTGACGTGATTTGGCGTTACTTGACGTGATTGGACGTGATTTGACTTGAGGTTACTTGACGTCACATAACTTTAGGCGAGGCGAGGCGAGGCTAGACTAGGCTAGGTAAGGTTATATTGGGTTATGTTAAATTAGGTTACATTACGTTAAGTTAGATTAGGTTAGGTTGAGTTAGGTTGGGTTAGGTTAGGTTAGGTTTGCACAGTAGTCTTGGGCGCATCAATCAGTAACTGAGGGTTACCATTCCCTGCTGTTAAAGAATTAAAAACAGAACTTAAATTAAACAAAATTTAAAATATCAACCAACTAGATTAAACATTCCAACAGAATGCAAATTTTCAAAATTATTAAAAAAAA